TTCAGTGCGGTTGAATTTCGCGGATATTTCTGGAGTACAAATATCGCTTGATATTTGTACTCGTCTCGCGCGTTTATTTGTACTCTACGAAGCACATTTGGATAGTAAATATATCTCATTAGAAGTTTTGTTGTGTTGTATCACTGAGTATTTTTACGAGTTGTACCGTATTTTAACGAGCCCGTTGGGTGAGTCAAAATGCAAACAACGAGTAAAAATACTCTGCGATACTACACAACAAAACGTTTAATAAAAGATTTATCATCCAACGAGGCAAATTGTTATTTCAGTGCGGGCGAATTTCGTGGATATTTGTGGAGTACAAATATCGCGTGATATTTGTACTCGTCTCGCGCATTATTTGTACTCTACGAAGCACAATTGGATAATAAATTTACTGTACAATACTCGTAATCAGTTATTTTACCTTTGCTTAAGAGAGTAGTAACGCTATGTAACGTAATTCAATACGATGGCCGCTAAGTCATTACGTTCCTGCCTATCTTAGAATTTCACCAACGAAAAAGTAGCCGCTAAGCCATTGCATCTTATAATAACCTTGTTTACCGGCGTAAATGTAGTCGTTGCGTTACTGGCGTTAGTAGGGTCGATTGTGATACCATTCGACGCACTTAGTGGCTTCACGAAATGCTTGCGACGAAATAACTAATTTCGCTGTTATCCTAACGCCAGTTTAAGCCCTTATCCCTCTCTTTTAATGTCATAAACACAGTTAAGGCAAAACCTGGAAGTGCCAAAGAAGCAAAGAATACCTTTTTAAGGCTAAACTCTTACATGATTGTCAACTCTTTAAGTTTACGTGCTCTTTTGTTCCGTATCGTTTCAGAGCTGTTAAATTGCCTGAGTGATATTCGAATCACTAGCCAGCTAAATGAACGCCATCTTCAAAATATGTCTTGCTGACGAGGCATAGAAAAAAATATATAAGAAGCAAAAATATAACATCTACGTATCGTTTTAATACTGTTAAATTGACTGGGTAATATTCAAATCACTAGCCAGCTAAACGAACGCCATCTTCAAAATTGTTTTTGCTACCGAGGCATAGAAATAACACATAAGAAGCAAAAATATAACATCTGCTGAGTGTGTTTTTCAATTCGTCTTCCAAATGCATGGTCAGGATGATTTGCTTTGAATTAAGATGTCTTCAATCTAGATCGTCAGCTTTTCGAACTCAAACAAAGCATTATCGATGCGTCGTAGCACCTCAAAGAAGGAAGACTTTGAAGTATCAAAAATGAGACGATTGGCCAGAAATTCAAATTCTTCCTTCAAATGACCTAGGATTTTGCGGTAATCGCCAAATGGTAGAATAATTTTTCCAATTTGATTCGCATACAACAGTTCCGCCTTGCAGTAATCACTCTGAAAGTATTCCTCATTGAGCCAGACTAGGATACAATCGCATTCATCGACGGCAACTTTCAATGCTCCTTGCAAATCAGAGGCCAACGGTATGTCATCTTTGTCAAGCCATGTTTTGTAACCAAGAAATTTGAGCCCATTACGGAAAGTTTCCATTAGCGGCTTGTGCTTCGATTTGTGGCTTAAAAAGAAGCTGAATTGGGGGCTAAATCTCGTGTATTTGATCTTTCTAGTCACCAGAGGCACGATGTTATCTTCAAGGTACTTACGAAGCCTCTCTGGGTTTCCAACGCTGTCGTTTAATCGACGAAGCTCATAACTATTTGCCAGCTCATCCACCATGTCGAAGGAATCCATTTCGTCTTTGCATGTTATTCCCAGGTAAAGACATCTGACAATTTCCATCGTCCAGGTGGCACTTCCACTATACTTAAAGTTATTTAAGCGAACCTCAATTCCCTTTTCGAGGGCAAAGTCAAACGTAAACACAAGCCACCAGAATCCAGTTTTTTCGTTAAGCCCGTGATTCTCCTTGATTTCGATGTTGTATTTGTTCAGACCTGACTTTATGGGTCTGATTGGTACCTTGTAGAGATCGATTTTGTCTGCCATTGCCGAACAAATACTTTAAACTCAGTAGTGGAGGTGTATGCGTAAATCGCAGTTCACTGTACCCAAGCGGAAGTAGGTCACCGCATGGATCCTGAACAAAGACAAGCAAGAGAGAAGACTGGAAACTGGAAATGGTGGGAAGGGCATATCATGACATGGGGTTAGTAGGAGCTACACGAAGTGCACGGTATTATAGAACGAGGTGCTATGACAAACAATTTGTTTGTTTTTCCGATATTGAGAAAGACACAACAAAATGACTTTCATAGTCACCTACGATTGAAATTGTGCAGCAGAGGAAAAAAAATCCATGCTCCACCATAAGCTCGATTGAGACCATCGAAGCTTTGTTTCTTCAAGTTTGATTTTAAGATAAAATCAGTGTATAAAAAACACAGTACTCTCTTGTAAACGGGGTTGTATACCTCGTGCACTGTCCCATCTTTTTACAGAAGCATAGGCTGTCGCGAGGTCATTTCAGTCATTCAAAAAAACCAAAAGCTTAAAAATAAAAGGCTTCATAAATGAACTGCAAGTGTTGTGATAAATTTTTTGGGTGATTCTAGAAATGTTTATAGTGCAGCATATGCAGGGATCGAGTCTTTGATGAAGGCTAAAGTACCAGCTTAATATAATAATAATAATAATAATAATAATAATAATAATAATAATAATAATAATAATCCAGCTTGAATGAAACTGTCTTTTAGTTACACGGTTAAGACAACGGTATCCGGAGCAATTTCGTCAACCGCCTGCACCCAGTCTAGACTTCTCAGTTATTGATGTCTAGACTCATATTAATAGAGATTTATATTCACGTACTTTAGTGGATTTCTGAGAATCTAGCTCCCTTTATACCTACGCAAAGGTAGCCATAAGTCATAGTGTTAGTGGCTATCTTAGAATCTCGTTATTTACCGACGCAAACGTGGCCGTTTAGTCATTATGCTAGTGGCTATCAGAGAATCTCCCATAATTCTGACGGAAATGGAGCCGTTAGTCATTGTGTTAGTGGCTATCTGAGAATCTCCCATAATACCGACGCAAATGAAGCCGTTAGTCATTATGCTAGTCGGCTATCAGAGAATCTCCCATAATTCTGACACAAATGAAGCCGTTAGTCATTGTGTTAGTGGCTATCTGAGTATCTCCCATAATACCGACGCAAATGAAGCCGTTAATTTATTGCGTTACTGGCTATTCTAGAATGTCCCTTCAGTCGGCACCGATGCTGGAGTATTCATGGGGCAAGTGATCACTTTCATTCTAGTTCAACTGTATTTTATTCAATAATCAAGATAGTATGTATCTTATCGCCGTATTTTGACTGGCCCCTGGGGCCAGTCAAAATATACAAACAACGAGTAAAAATACTCAGCGATACTACACAACAAAACGTTTAATAAGAGATTTATTATCCAACGAGCCAAATTGTTATTTCAGTGCGGTTGAATTTCGTGGATATTTCTGGCGTACAAATATCGCGTGATATTTGTACTCGTCTCGCGCGTTATTTGTACTGTACTAAGCACATTTGGATAATACATATATCTTATTAGACGTTTTGTTGTGTAGTATCGCTGAGTATTTTTACGAGTTGTGCCGTATTTTAACGAGCCCGTAAGGAGAGTCCAAATGCAAACAATGAGTAAAAATACTCAGCGACACTACACAACAAAACGTTTAATAGGAGCTCAAA